CGCCATTCAAAGTTGTTTTCGTTTAATAAAAAATGTATGACGTCATATGTTTTTAAAACATAGTTCTAGAATTACAAACAAAAACATGTGTTGTCCTTTGTGTTATTTAATATATAAATATCATACCATTACTATTTCAAATATATGTATTATATAACTTTAGTCGGTAACTGCCAAGTACCAAATCGAAAACTAAAACTAAAAACTTTGAGCATTTGTTGTCATAGGAATCATATGACAAATGGCAGTCTTCTTATAAAAGTGGAAAAAGGTGAAAATTGTTATCAAGATGCAAAAATAACATTGTTACTTTGCTTATAAAAAAATCAAATAAACTTGAATATTTGAATTTGATAAATCATGTGTTCAGTCATTAATCTATTAGCCTATAGGATAAACATTACAACATGTGGTAGAATTGTCAATGAGACAGCTACCCAACATAGAGTAAATTATGTTGATGGTAGTCAATACGTCACATTACGGGCAATATAGAGTAAATTATGTTGATGGTAGTTACAATAAGTCACAAAACGGGCTTTTCCAATAGTGAGAAATACAAATACCGTATATTAAGAAAGCTAAAAAAATCCAAAAATGACAATATGTGAACCATTTCAAAATATAGAACTTACATTGTTAGATCCGATAGGTAAATAAATTTTGACAAAAAGTCCGACGATGATATAATATGTTCTTATTGTAGCTGTACCTGTGGAGAGTAAGTATTGAAGATAAAGCTTACGATTTATATTTTTCTTCGATGGCGAGGATTTACATTATATGCATTAGTCATCAAAAGAAGTACCTATAATGATATTCAAAATTGTATCACTGATAGCTATACACGTAGTATAACATGTTTATTTTCTAATAATTTGTTTCATACTTAAAATTTTCATGAAAAAGTACAATACATCTATTTACTAACTGATCGATAAGGATATGCACAAAATGGCATTTTTCTGCGGTAGTATCTTTTAAACTTGTTTTTGTAAAGAAATAACTTAACTTACGTTTGCAAGTTGCTTCTTATGAAGGACACTATTTATTTAGTTAAGTGGTATGGTCGTCTCTGACATAAATCGGTTCCATTTGGAAAGATTGATACTCTTATAGACCGGATACATACTCATTATATACAGATAGTTTTCATCAAATGAAGTGACTATATATATTTATCAAAATACAGAGCAAGCATGTACTGTTTGTTAATAAAGAATCAATAGTACACTTTTACAAAAGGGAGATGCAGTTCTTGTTTAAATGTTAACACAAATTGTACGACTGTTGTTCCTTAAACTGAACGTAAACAGCATCAGTTCACACTATTTATTGCGTCAAATCGTGCCTAAATACAAGATCAAACAAATAAACCAATAACAGTCCTTAAGGAGTTGTTCAGTAAATTATAAAATTGAGAATGGAAATAGGGAATTTGTCAAAGAGACAACAACCCGACCATCGAGCAGAAAACAGCCCAAGGGTACCAATGGGTCTTCAACACAGCGATAGACTAGTTTGTTATCTAAAAACTAAAAATGTGGAGGTTAATGTTGTGGACAACAAAACTACGAACATTTAAGCAAACCTTCATTTACATCGTTGACGAACTAATTGCATCCAGGAAGCAGATAGCACAAATTTATGATATTTATAATATCACTTGTAAACATGCATGATGTATAATTTTAAGTTAAACAAACACAATCATTGTATTTATTTCTTCAGATGGATGAATTGCATAAGAAAAAAGTGACAGCCAGTTTTAAACATTAGCGAAACACAGAAATGATGGAAAACACTTCCTTCCGATGCAAAAACAATATCAAACAATCTGAATATAATGTGTACTTGTTTTAATTGCATGCACGTTTTATGTTTAAAATATATATGTTTCTGATACATCAATTTTTTTTTCCTAAAATCTGTATTAACCACAAAAGAATTATGTCGTACGTGTTGCATCACACGAATCATTCATACTTTGATATTTTCTTATGTCAGATAATTATTAAATGCTCTCTCGTTATATCAAATTCAAAATAATTAACTACAATTTATATCCTAGTGTCCGTTACTCATTCAAATTAATTTCACTTTTCTATTTATCCTACAAAGAACGTTATTATAGAACTTAACGTATTGAAAAACATTATAAACTGTCGGAATAGTCTTTAAGCAATTGATTCGAAACAAATCAAAATTGTGGACTTTTCTAGTATTTCAAGTTACTAATCAAATTGTACAAAATATGTCTATAACCCTACAATGTATATCTTAATGTGAATTCAATTATCAGACACATATTTGATTTATACGTTGTTTCTGCCCTTTAAACTACTAAACATGTAGATTGAAATTGTATTATATTTAACGCGCGAGACTACTATACATCTTTCTGTGATATGTATATGAATGTTATTTTTCTTGTTTTGTAAAATGTTATGATTATATATAAATGTGTAGTCTTTCGATATCATGAAATAAATTTGCAACTGGTTTGACTAGAATGTGTTTTACCTGTTTCGCCCACATCGTCATGCCTTTGATAGAAAACTTTCGTCAAAGTTTTCACGGCTTCGTTGAAAGGGAATTATTTGATATTTAGTGTTCAGCTTGATAATGTTGAGTTGTGGAAACTTTCTGTTTGCCGATAGTTCAACATATTACAACTCTGATTGTACAAGGACAATGTTCGTAAAAGTTTACTTGGCTTGATTGAAAGGAATGATTAGTTATGTTTCAGTAAACATGTTGTTATGATATTGTTATTATCATGTTTATTTATCTTCGCCTAATTTGTTTCGTGTGGCCTTATAATATGTATAATATGTTTACATCATATTTACAGTTGTTTACAAAATAATGTTATAATTGTGCAGTTTAGAAATCACTGGAACAATAATGGATACTGATGGAATGATTAGAACTTTCTATTTGACTGACATCATAATTCTGGAACGATCGTAATATACGATGTGTAATTTAAAATTCTACCGTTTTCTAGGAGTTTCTCTTCTACAGTGTTCTAGAAGTTTCCGTGACAACTATATATACAGATACCGAAATTAGACTTGTTTTGACATTAATTTACTTGGATTCACAGAAGTTCTCTGAAGTTGTTGGGTTGACACTTTATTTACGTTAACTACATCATACTAGATTGGACATATTCCGTACAGTTAAGAGAAGAATTCCGTATAAAGAAAAGACAAAGGATCGGACATATAATTTAACAGTCAAGTTAACATTTCAATTTGTATAATATTTGTTGTAAACTTGTGTATACTAAATCTTGTTAAATTTGTTTATTAATTTGTGTCTTTTGTTGGCTACAAGTCAAAGGTGATTTCTGGCCGTAACAGCAATTGGGGGCTCATCCGGGAAAACGCTAATATCAGATTAAAATTTTCTGTATTTATAGAATTAGAATTAGCCAACACAATTCTGCAAAATGGTATTTGATGCCGGTACATTTTTGAAATCGCTAGACATGTAAGGGATTGATAATTTAAAGAAAGAGGATTAAGTGTTGCTTGCTAAACATCTAAAAATTGATTTAAAAGTATCCATGAGAAAACAAATTATAAAAAATTTGGTAATAGACAAATAAGTTTACGCAGAAATTATAGATGAAGAGGCTCTTGAACTTGAGGTAGAACATGTTGATGCTTTTCAAATTAAAACAGCTTGCATTGGAACATGAATTTAAATTAAAACAATTGGAAAAAAAATGGAAAACGAAGTTAAAATAAAACTATTTGAAAAAGAAAAAGATGAATTTAAATTTAAACAGGCAGAACTTTAAATTATGGAAAGGTTAGAGATGGAGAAAATAAAAATTGAAATAGTCAAAGTAGAAAACAACACTAATGTAGAGTCAAAATCAGAATATTTTGATGCAGCAAAGATATACGTTTGGTTCCCAGATGTTGTGAAAAAAAAACAGTTGATAAATATTTTCCACAGTTTGCGAAAATTGCTCATTTTTTTTTTAAATGGTAAAAGCCTTATTGGACTTCAATGCTGCAAAAATGTTTTTAAGGGCAAGGCTGCTATTGATCAGAAAAAAGTTCTGATTATGACACTGTAAAACAGGAAATTTTGAAAGCTTATAAGCTAGTGCCAGAAGCATATAGACAGAAATTTAGGTCTTATAAAAAGTTTGATTCACAAACCTATGTTGAACTTGCTAGGGAAAAAGAAGATCTATTTGATAAATGGCTTACGTCAAAGAAAATAGATAACAATTTTGATAATATAAGACAATTGATGTTATTAGAAGAGTCCAAGCAGTGTGTTCATTAAGACTAAAAAACACATTTAGATGACAAAACAGTTGAGACATTACAAGATGCAGCTGTTATTTCCGATAATTATACCCTTTCACATACAAGAAGTTTCAAAGGTCAAGATTTTTATACTTCGAGCGGAAATTACAAAAATCATAGTACTGAGCGTACTGATAATAAGCATGTTGCACAGAATAAGAGTCAATCCAGTAATAATATGTCTAGTCCAAAATTTTATACTTTTGAGAAGAAGTCACTTACTTGTGCTTATTGTAAGAAAAATGGTCACCTGATGGCTGATTGTTTTAGACTTTAGAAGAAGAATGAAAGAGATAATAAACCCAAATCCAGTGCTTGTACGACACCCCTTGTTACCTATAAGTTAGAATGTCCTGCGAGTCAGGCTTTTAAGTCCAGTTTTGTGATTACATGGAGGATTATAAACCCTTTATGTCTGATGGGTTTGTTTCTATTGTTGATAATACTACTCCTCAGCCCATTAAGATTTTATGGGATACTGGAGTTTCGTAGACTTTGTTATTAGAAGGTGCGCTGCCTTTGTCCGAGAAGACTTCTGTGGCTGACTCCGTTTTGTTACAGGGTGTGAAGTTAGGTTGTATAGATGTTCCCTTCCATCGTATTTATATGAAGTCAGATTTAATTACTGGACCTGTGGGTGTTTGTCCTAATCTCCCTTATTGCTAGGAAAGATCTAGCTAGAAACAAAGTGGTTGCTGAACAAATTGTTACCAGTGAACCGGTTGTGGGTGTTAAATCACCTGAGGATGATGCTGAACTGTATCCAGCTTGTGTTGTTACTAGGGCGCTGGCAAGAAAACAACAAAATGAGGATTTGCAAAAAGACCAGTATGATTATATAGACCTTTCTGACACTTTCCATTGACGGTTCCTGTGGCTCAGAACAGGCAATGATAAGACCACTTAGTACTAAAAAAAATGTAATTATGCAATGGCCAGAAGTGAACAGCCATTCATTTGACAGAAGAAAATTTGTGGAAGAACAAAATAATGACACTGAGGTTCTTCAGCTCCGCAAGAGGGCTCAACCACAGGAGGAAGCAGACAAAGTGGCCGAATGCTTCTACCATCAAGACGGCATTTTAGATGCTATCCCAGAGGAGGAATGGAGAGTGGTATACCAAATGGAGATGCCTAAAGTGTATAGGCAAGAAATTATTGGTCTTGCCCATTACACCCCTTTGGCTGGACATTTAGGTATAAGGAAGACTTGCCTTAAGATCTTGCAGCATTTCTACTGACCCAGACTTAAGGATGATGTCACACAATACTGCAAATCATGCCATATATGCCAGGTTGTTGGCAAGCTTAACCAGAAAATACCACCAGCACCACTTCTGCCAATTTTAGCCTTTGAAGAACCTTTCAGTCGAGTATTAATTAATTGCGTTGGACTTTTACCAAAGACCAAGACTGAAAATGCGTATTTATTGACGATCATGTGTACATCCACTCGCTTTCCTGATGCCATTCCGTTAAGGAATATCTAGATACCAACTATTGTGAAAGCTCTTATAATATTTGTCACGTTATTAGGACTTCCTAAGTCTATACAGTCCGACCTGGGTTCATATCTCATGTCGGGTTTATTTTAGCAGGTCGTTTACCAGTTAGGATTGCTTATTATAGGTCAAGTGCTTATCATTCAGAATCTCAAGGTGCCTTAGAACGTTTTCAATAAACATTTAAGAACATGATTAGAACTTTGTGTCTTCAATTTGACATATACTGATATGATGGTGTTCACTTTCTACTTTTTGCGGTCCGAGAGGCTGTTCAAGAATCCTTTGGTTTTAGTCCATTTGAGTTGGTATTTTGTCATACTGTAAGGGGACCTTTAAAATTGGTTAAGGAAAAATGGCTAACTGAACACCCTGACTTGAATCTTCTAAACTATGTATCCAGATTTAAAGAAAAAATTGTATACTGCTTGTCAAATTGCTCAGAAAAACTTAAAAACTGTTCAAAATATGATAAAAATATGGTATGATAAAGATGCCAGGGACAGAGGTTTTGAGCCTGGTGATAAGGTACCTGTATGTTTGCCAGTCCCTGGATATCCTTTACAGTCTAAATACTGTGGGCCGTATACAATAGAAAGTAAAATCAATGATTTTAATTATATTGTAAGAACTCCAGATCGGCGCAAACAAAATAGAGTGTGTCATATTAATATGTTAAAACCATATTTTGAGCGTACTAATGAAGGTGAGAGTAAACCAGTTAAGGGGGGGGGGAGGTGTTATGATATTGTTATTATCATGTTTATCTATCTTGGCCTAATTTGTATTGTGTGGCCTTATAATATGTATAATATTTTTACATCATATTTATAGTTGTTTACAAAATAATGTTATAATTGTGCAGTTTAGAAATCACTGTAACAACCATAGATACTGATGGAATGATTAGAACTTTCTATTTGACTTACATAATAATTCTGGAATGATTATAATATACGATGTGTAATTTAAACTTCTACCGTATTTTAGAAGTTTCCGTTCTACAGTTTTCTTGGAGTTTCCCTCCTGCAGTGTTCTAGAAGTTTCCTTGACAACTATATATACAGATACCGAAATTAGATATGTTTAGACATTAATTTACTTGGATTCACAGAAGTTCTCTAGATTTGTTGGATTGACACTTTCTTTACGTTAACTACATCATACTAGATTAGACATATTCCGTACAGTTAAGAGAAGAATTCCAGATAAAGAAAAGACAAAAGATCGGACTTATAACTTAACAGTCAAGTTAACATTTCAATTTGTATAATATTTCTTGTAAACTTGTGTATAATAAATCTTGTCAAATTTAATTATTGATTTGTGTCTTTTGTTGGCTACAAGTTAAAGGTGATTTCTGGCCGTAACAATGTCATCTCAAATAATTGCCTTGTATTAAACACGGAAGAGACACTTGTTGACTAATCAAACACTTCATTAACACGGGTTTGCTCCTTACTGAAAACTTGCTCGAATAGAGTTATATACTACATACATTTTAAGAATTTATTGACCAATATGGTATGTATGTATATCAACTCACTAGCGACATATTTTCGCGGTTTTAGTTCTTCTGATGAAATTATAATCGTCTAATTGTGTCAGATTGTTACATTTTGACTTAGTGGCACAGCATTCATTTCTTACATCTACGAATTTTCAAAATTAAAATATATATATTATTAATATTTTTAATCTGAAATTAAAATTTAAACACACAAACATTAATGTGATAGTTAGAGGAAATGCCATGTAACCTTGATTACAGTCGTTCTTATTTGTAAACCAACTGGAACAAATTTGTTTTTCTGCTAGCAACAGCTTAACAATGGTTTTCAATATATTACCAAGACTCCAGTAGACAATGGTAGATAAGTTTCAGTGGCTTTCTAACTCTTTCTGTCTTTAACACTAACAGGGAACATAAAGGGTAGATATAACATACATGAGTCGGAGAAACGTGATTTGCTGTCGTGTACATATAAATGTATCGTGTTGCTCAGGATGTAAAAAAAATCGATAATACGTTGTATTTTGTGTCTGAGGAACAGACCTAGAGATTGTGGTACAATAATTGGAACATACGCGTGGTCATATGTGACAGAGCTATTCCATAACCGTAAAGTATTTCAAGATGGCGTCAGTGAATCTTGAATATTTGAAGATATAATTTCACCGTTTCAAATAGGAACACAATGTTCAATGGCTTCCGTGCAAGCAGACACTTACAAGTAAATCAATATTTCAAAATAGTATAAACAAGGAATTCAGAAATTAATGATGGCATATTTCATTGTGATTGTTGATTAATGAATATTACAGGAAATACTATTGTCTAAGTTTAAATGCCATTTTTTTTTTATTTTGGCGAACTCTATCCTTTTGTAATATTGGAATTTACAAAATGTTCCCATAGGTAAGCGCTACTGTATGTAACTACATAAAAATGATAAATTGGTAATTTTAAGAGAAGAACTGACAATACAAAGGCAAAAGACAAAGACGAGAAAAAGGAAAACTGATTGAATTAAACTATATCGACAATTGTGACGCCTCCTATGCTCTGTAGCATGGAAGGAGTACGACTTAATATCATATATCATTCATATCATAATCAGATGATAAAAACAACTTCAAATGTAAATGGTTTATAATTTAGTAAGTTATACAAGACGAAGCATCAAACAGTAACAAAGTGATACTAATGCCAAGTGTAATCTTGAATTTTTTCTTAATTTATGAGTTTTTACCGTTGTTTTTTTTTTCGTTAAATCCTTTTATATTGAAATTTTGATTATTGTCAGGTTGGTGTTTTAGTGACGTATAATCTAACATATCCTTGGATTAATTATTCCAGTTATCTTTCCAGCATATTAGCTAATTACTATTTAACATGTCTAATCTCTTTAAGATTGATAACCTGTGTATATGTCCTACTTTGCAAAGCTAGTGTCCCTTTCTTTATGAATAGTTATGTCATATATATTAACACAAATACTTAACAATAACAAAAACACATCTTTACCCTTACATATAGGTTTATATCAAACTGGATATGAAAAAAACCCAGATATATTGATTTAAACATAAGATTTAAGTGATCGATTGTTGGTAGCTTAACATCCAGTGGCAACTATTTTTTTTATTGTCCGGTGGATGTTTTATACTTGCGTATAATATAACAGGCCCAAATACAATATATGGTGTTAAACTTGTTTATCGAAACCATTGTCTTCTTTGCTAGATAAGTAATGTCATGTTGTGAAAATAGTGTAACAGAAGCGAAATCGTGAGCAGGACAATTATCGTCTATCTGATAACATGAATTGCATAATGATTATACGACAAAGCCATTTGTTTATGTTTCCGTGAATTGATATATGAAATATGCTTCATTCACGCCTGTGATTTTTCTTCTCGTCGTTCATCATGTTTTGTCATCTGTTTGCCCATTTCTCAAATACTTTTTTTGTCATTTCGTATTTCCCACCTTTTTGTATTTGTTAACAGATACAATTATACCTCAAAAATAGCTAGATCCATCTAAGGTCAACTTTGCCTGAGGGAGTTGAAACCTCCGTTTTTTTATAATTTAAAATTTATCAATGAACAATTTAAGAAATGTTTGTTTTAAATCATGTGAGTACCGAAGTACTGACTACTGAGCTGGTAATACCATTGGGGACTAATAGTCCACCAGCAAAGGTATCGACCCAGTGTTATAAAGAATGAAAACAACACGTTATAAAATCAAAGCGTCCGAAGCGCTTTTCTTGATTATCCTTCATCGGGACACTCAAAGCCGAATATTTGAAAGCCAAGGGTGTTTAAGAACCGAAACAGTTGAAAAGCTATATGACCAAAAGTACCTAAAATAGCCAAATCCATCTGAGGTCAACTTTGCGGGAGTTGAAACCTCAGTGAGTTAATTTTTACCTAAACAAAAGGATGTTAATTTTTTTAATGTTAACAAGAATATCCTTCTCAATCATCATTATCTATCGATTAAACTACTTAATATTTTACAGAGTTAGCTCCCTGTAGTGTTAGGTACCACCTTAATATTTGCCCAAAAATCTTCAAACAAATTGATAATTTGAATCATCAAGATTTCTTGATTTCAGTTCATGCTGCAGAATATGTAAAATTGACGCTAGTACATGTAACAAAATGAACTTTTTATGTTGGAGTTTCAGTTAAAATTTAAAGACTTTGTGAAACGAAAGGGTGATGAATAATGCATTTCGGATAATTTTCATACAATAATGTTGATCGGGCTGTATTTCTGGATAACTATGATTGACTAGGGCTAAGTATATTTTGTAAATAATATTGCTACAAAATGAATTAATTTTCATTGATGTCTTGAATTAGTATATCAAACAACTAATTAGAGCAGAACATCTATTAACATATTCATCATCATTCAACGTTTGAGGTTTTTCTATACGAATAAACATCTCAGTCTGTGTTTCATTGTCAAGTATTAAGTACTTGACTCAAAAGGCTAACAATTAATTATGATCACACCAAGGGTATCCTTTATCTGATGATGATAGGTCTCCACTTGATAAAATCAACCTGATGACTTTTAGAAAGTCTGTTTCCTGTGCTATTCGCCTTTGGAACGTACAAGTACTATCGTCCTTCAGGATAAAGTATTTTCACATGATTGTTTATTTCTGATTAATTTGGTAGGCGTATATCAAATACAAAAAGCTGCACAACGATCATTC